AAACGACTTCAAGTAACCATCACTACCTATCACATATAAAGGTGCACAAACTAATTAAACGATCAATTAGGCGTAGCACGTTTGCGGTAGACATGTCAGGTACACTGTGAAGTAAACAATACATTTAATAGATACATATAAAGGCAAAATCACTTTCAGTACTTTTTACAAATTAATCATTTGGAATAACCCAGGACCATTTGATATGAGTTTTTTATTGGATGCAATTTGTAACTTTAACCAAAACCGTTTAAACTTTAGTCAATAGAATATTTCAAAAACAAAACTGAATTTATACTTGACATTTGAAAAGCACACTACGTTATTAGATTTCAAATAATTTAAAAATCATCCTAGGAAAATATAACGATTGTGAGTTTATTCAAAAATTCATAGAACAAAACATATTCAAATTGCTTTGATCTACTTACGACTCGGTATTCGCTTAAAGGTCCGAAAGATTAAATAAACTTCCAGCTCCTTTGAAGGTTTATATTTATTAAACCCTTACACGAGATTTGACAAAGAAAAATCGCACAAACAAAAAACTTCCTGTTGACGAATCCCTAAATTATGTTTGGCTTTACGGCTGTATTAATTACAATTGTTACTACCTCTGACTCATGACTCTCTATTGGTTGTTGTTGCTCTTTTTGGATAGCTACTTGCCGTGATACTTCTTTTATTAATAACCCTTCAAATAATTTATACAATGAGGGTCTTTTACGTAAACACCCTAAATAAAAAGAGATACAAAACTTTTAATAACTTTTTAGGATCATGTAGTAATTAACATGTTTTCTTTAATATTAAAAAGAGATCTAAATTTTACTGTAAAAAAAAAATCTGTAAGTTAAAAGCATTTTAAAAATATTTTAATTTGAAAAATATTTTTTCACACCCAAAATTCTAACAAAAATAAAATTATGTTCTAAACTATAAATGCTAAGAGTTTGCCAAAATTAATGGACTTTTATTGGTTCACGTTGGGTACTTCGCCATAGTCATGATAGTGTTCACCGCATCATTAATTTTTCTAATACGTTGCCAGCTCGATAGTGCATCCTCATTGACTGTTGAACATTCCAAAACAACTTGTTTCTAATAGTAAACTAAACTATAATTAAAAGTTAAATATCATCAATAAGTTAATATTTTAGACAGTTAAGATTGATATAAAGAAGATCAAGAATGTTATTGAACAAAAACTTATTGAAATAATGTAATCAGTGAAAATAGCTACAAAAAATATCCATTTTTTTTAAAATTAAACTCATCAAGTGGTGCTGTCAACTAGTCTGGCTTTATGCGAAATGTCACAAACTAAACTTACTGCAAAAACAACAAATATGTTGCATAAATTATGCATAGAAAATAAAACATCATCTGCGACGGCATTCATAATTGTTTGCTCAACATATACACAAAGCACAAGATATTCTAAAAAGCTCAGTAATTAATACTTAATTGATATGAAGAGAATACAAAACACTACATTTTGATTACAGAATCCAGTTTAAAATTTTACAGGAACTCTGTAAATAGGGAAAATTCAGCCAGGAATTGGAATTATCATATCCCAAGACGTATCACATGCGTACTCAAGATGGCTTTGATTCTCTCTAACTATTTATTATTAACGCTAAACTCCGCTCAAACTTTATTCTCATAATTTATAACATCTTAACTAGTATTAACTTTCGTAACACTCGATACTATGGGATAACTTTTGCAAATGTTTTAATACTTAACCGCTACAAGAAATTCTTCCATGTTTCATAAACTTTTTTAATTTATGTGAGAACAAAAGACTAAGATCGATATAATGTATGCAAGTATGTAATAATATGTAGTTTATATTTATGTATATATATATATTTTGATATGTATTATATTTCTATGTATGTATTATTGGGATGTAGTTATGTGTAGTTTATTACTATACCTTGGTGTAAATATTATTATATTGTATATTTCCTCATTTTTCTGTATCTCTTTCTTCACTTACCTGTTTTCATTCTAAGCTCCTATCACCAAAGGTTGTCTGTGAGAGATCGCTATAAGCGATAAGACCGGCTTTGCGCACCATGTATGTACTTACTTTATGACTTGTATGTCCCCCTTTTTTCCATGTGTTGTGCAATAAAGCATTTTAAATAAATAAAATAAATAAATAAGATCGTATGTTATGTGGATGTACGGTCATAGAAACTTGAGATTTTATACTTAATGATTATGGTGAACTCTATGGTGAATAAGATGAGAAAAAAGGACCAGTGACTTTGTGACAACAAGACCTAAGACACCAAAGCCCCCCCCCCCCACTCCACCCCAATAAAGTCTGAGAATTTCTTCACGTATCAAACAAATTACAGCTTCTATCTTATCTCATTTTTTCTGAGAATCCAACTGTTAAGTTTTATTATCAATACAATAATAAATACAATGTAGAAGTATAGAAAGAAGTTCATTAAAGTTTCTTTTTACAGTTTATTGATGCCAGATATTATTGCCAGATAACTCATAGAAAAAAGACGTTGGTTTATGAGCTAACCGGTCGAATAGAGATTAAACCTTAGTACACCTTCTTGATTGGAAACGTGCGTCAGTGTTCTGTAGCTATTTGCTCTAATTGTTATTAGGAATTTAAAATGGACACATTTTAAATGACACAATGACAATTGTTCCCCTATCTTACCCCGAACGCCCCGCTCTACATAGCGTGAACTTTTCTCGTTAAAGTTATTTCCTTTTATCTAGCCACCGCAGGGACTCGGTTGTTAGACTTATCGTCCGCTTTATTAAATTACTTGGTAATTTCAATAGCCATCCCGTGCCGCATCTTGTTTATTTCTTTGCAACTTTTTCCTTGAAAATTTAATTCCGATCAAATTTCGGCCGCTTTAGGCCCTGAATTGAGTTTCGTGTTGCAATGTTTTCTCTTCAGCCAATTGTGTTTTAGATTAATATTTATTCAAGCTCAATCGGAATACAAAAGACAGATTTGTTTATTGTAATGTTGACTATTATTATTTATATTCGAGCATAACTTTCTATATTAAATTAATATAATAAAACTAGAAGACCTGGCGAACTTCGTATCGCTCTATAATCAAGAAATATCTGTTACGTTTTTTTATTTATATTTTTGGAGTTTACCAATTAAATCCATAAATCTCCGTGTTTTGAAGTGCGACAGAATGATTGACATATTAGTTAGTTGTCAAATCTAATGTCAAAAAAAAAACGTTTGTATGGGAAATAGAAAAGGGCTGTTTTTATGGTTTTTCCAGTAATGAATCAATTTCTTTCAGCTTTTATACCTTCCCTGAACCTCCACGAACATTTCAAGTCTAAGATATGATAAATCCGTTTAGCCGTTCTCGAGTTTTAGCGAGACTAAGGAACAGCAATCCATTTTTATATATATAGGAGATATATAACTTATTTCTGGAGATAATAATTAATTTGTTCTTATTTTTTGAGTCAACTAAAGTATTGAAACAATGAATTTGACTTAAAACAATAGAATTCTTGTTCAAAAAACACTGTATTCACTAATCAATATTTATTAACTTTTCTTTCAGAACGTTATTCCTTACAATTACACATTAACTTTTCTTACATCACAGATGGAGTTCATTTCAAACAAACAAATCGTTTTATATGAATGTTTTCATCTAACAAGATGGTGATTGTAATTTTTATTAAAATATAACCGTTGGTTAAAAGTTATCTTCTTCTCACACAGAAACAGGTATTTCACAACAAACGTTGATGTAAAACCTTAAGAAGAATATCTCTGCTGAATATATTAATCTTCCATTTCTGTCACTTACTAAACCCTCCTAATTTTAGATTGAAGATATTGAAATTAAATTTTATCTTCTTTTTCTTAAAGACTTTATAATGGGTTGCCGGTGGCAGTTTCTCGTTGAATCTTTCGAGAGAATGTTTAAAAGTAATTGAACAAGTGCCATTGCGTCCCAATCATAAGAAAACTTCTCGGAATGGAAATGGACTATCAAAATGTCTTTTATGTTTGCCAATAATACAAACATAAAAAAAAATATATCTTCTTTTATTACACTTTTATAACTTTTTATATTGCACGATTGATGTTAAATACGTATTCATATAAAAAATGAAAATATTTATATTTAAGAACCATTAAATATTCCCTTTTTTTGGACCAATATTTAATATATTTGTTACATATACAATATTTAAATTGTACGTAAATTTTTGAAAGAAATTTGATCCTAGGATTTAAAAGCTATAATTTAATTTTAAGCCATACTTATCTTCGCAACAGAAGTAAGTATATATGTAGTTGACATGGCATGAAATATCAAATGTTTATATAACAACAAACCAGTCTTACAACAGAGGGACAAAAAGATAGAAATCATTCTTAAGAAATTAATAGTTTTCAATGATATACTACAACAGGAGTTCACAACCAGGGGGGCATGCCCCGCTTGGGAGGCATAGTGGAATACCAGGGGGGGCGTAATCGATACGTTTAATGACACAACCCGTTGGCTTGTATGAAAAGAATCAAATCAAAGACAAAAAGTTGCTGACATACATATATCGTCGGCCCGGCGTACTCAATGTGTATTGCGCTCTACATACACAAGTTTCGACAAGTCACAACACGACACTCACGCGTACCCCCGCCCTACCTACCCGCTTGCATCCATCTATCACTCGTAAAACAATTGAGAACATTTGCGTAAAATTGTTGTTTGTGAGATATTAAATTTTATGCAACTATTCAAGGATGAAAAATTTCAGTGGAAGCTAGCCTATTTAGCTGATATTTTTGAGGCCCTGAGTCATCTAAACTTGAAACTTCAAGGCAGAAATGACAAGTTGATTAGTAACTATGATCATATTCAAGGCTTCATATTAAAGCTTCAACTTTGGAAAAATAAGTTATCTGCTGAAAACACATTTCTTTTTCACGGCTATCTGAAGCGATTCATGATCAAAAACTGGATAATGATTTGAAATTTGAAATAGAAACTCATTTACAAGCATTGGAAAACGAATTTCACCGGTACTATCGAGATGTTAATTCCGAGTCACCAATATGGCGCATGACCAGAAACCCATTTGTTGTCGAGGTCTCAGATTTGCCTGAAGATGTTCAGGAAGAATTTCTAGAAATGAAGGCTGACTCGACCATGATGGATGACTTCCATCTCTTAACATTAGAGAAATTTTGGGTCATACGATTTCTTGTTAATCCCAATTAAGAATAATTATTCCATTTTCGACCATATATTTATGTGAAACAGGTTTTTCAGCTTTGGTTTTAATAAAAACTAAACAGCGAAATCGTCTTGTCGTCGATAGCGATTTAACCATTGCTCTAGCAAAGACTGAACCCAGAATCGACATACTTGTACAGAAGATGCAAGCTCAAGTATCTCATTAGTATTTAATAATTAAAATAAAAAATATTGGTTGTTTGTAAAGTAGGTTTACGATCGAGATGTTTACGTGATAACGTCTTATTGGTGATATAAGTTTTTGGGAAGTAAAGCATTCAACGAAAACTTAACTTCTTGTAAGTAAAAAAAAGTTCAGGCTATATTATAACAAATTCAGATAAAAAAATCAAGTTAGACGAAAAAAATACGTGTATACATTGAAGAAGCAATCAAACACTAATTCCTTTCAAACAATGTCGGAAAATTAGAAAGGAGCTCGTACGTGAACCATCCAACATTTTAAATTGGATTTCCCTAATGTTCCGCCTAGGGTCCGGTCACATAAAAATAAATGAGTAGCATATTTATTGTTAAACCATCATTTACATTTTGGAATGAATATTTTCTTTTATTTAATTATAGAAATCCTTGATTATATCTCCGCTGTGTGTGCTCAAATTATGAATATAAATAAAACAGCAAGCAATCAAAATTAGTAATAAGAAAATATTGTTTCAAAGAATTTTAATCATAATTAAATTTGTAAATAATTTTTTATTTTTATTTATTTAATACGCTGTTGTGTTTTATAACATTTAAATTAACAAAATTGATTTCTGTTAATCCTCTCACTAGTACTAACTTGCTTTAATTGCAATTCAATGCAAAACAATATGAGTCCAAATGTAAACCTAAAATAGGCAACAGTTCAACCAACACTCAATTAAGTTGCTTGAAAGGTATTCTGATTATTCATTAGATAAACATTGCTCTCAATGTGTTAAAATTTATATTTGGATGTGTCTAAATTTGAACCAGAGATCATTATTATTAAGTTATATAATATCAACGGCTTTATTTACATAAACTATTATTTAAAGAGTACAAATACGTACCTAATCATGTACATTACATTTAAACACCACTAAGAATAAAAAGTGTAATCGTTTTATGTCAAAACAAGAAAAAGTCCTCAAAACCTTATAATGTTTATTTAAATTATAGTCCCTGATTATTCTTTACATACAGTCCGTATACGTTTACTATACTGTATAATAAGAAATAAGAAAATTTTATTGAGTTAAAAATATGTATGTTCAAACAGGTAATTAATTTATCACATTAGATTTTTGAAAATAACGGCCGTTCGTGCATTATTCTAATAATATGAAAGAAAAGAACTTGGAACTTGGACAAACGTAGATAATAAAATGTTGTGACAATCTTCTGAGGTTTATAGTAAGCTGTATCTAAAGCATTTTAAAAAAGTTCTAAGTTGATGCTATCCTGCCATTCGTAGCTGGAAGCTACAATAATATGAATCCTGCTTACAAGTGAAGAGTTGAAAGAAACTTTGATTGGATTCACAGTAGATTGAAGCGAGTGCGCTTGGATTTTATTGTACTGAAATGGATTTAGTTTCAATCTATCCATACATTTTATATACAATATAAATCAAAAGTTTCGCTTATAAAGAAAACTCCATCTTTTAAACTTCAAAATATTTCTTCAGAGTTTTAGTTTTCAGGATAGTCATCGTAAACATTTTCTATGCTCACTACTTCCTTGAAAGATTACTATTTAGTTATCTATTGCCTTTCAAACCATAGAAAGGCATGTTACCTTTGTTAAAGAATGAAAAGAAAGCCTGAAGAAAGTTTAATATGTATTAAACCCTGCATACAGAGAAAAATTGTTCTTTCTCTGTATACAGGGTTGAACTAATATCTAGCAATAGATATTCACGTAACATTGAACATCAGTTAGCATCATTTTAAATCAATTCCATCGGATCTCTTCCTTTGTGAGCAAGAAATCCCTCTACATGTGTGATCTAGGAACTACACATTATTGGAAAGAATGCTATCATTTCACTTCAATAGTCCACCGATATTTTATTTATATAGGTAATATTATAAACATCATATTTTCACCACACCAGACATCGATTTCGTCACTGTTCATGGTATTAAATTTTTAAAAATACTGATTAAAATAAAACAGCGCTTTAATAAGACGGCCCATTAAAAGAATAAAATTACTTCATTAATTAATGACTAAACCAACAAATTTAATCAACTGTACCAAAATATATTGAACGTTAAAAATACTATTTTGTCCGTATTCACTCTATTTCAAATAATCCCAAATTCCAACCATTTCAGAATAAACAGCTCACTGAACTCCATCGTTAATGGCTCGATGCACTGAATAATTAAAGCCAATATTTAACATCCGAACACGTAAATACAATATGAAAAACTACTCTCTATTTCACTCGTATTTTCTGTTTTACAAATGCCTTATTTACGAAGAAATTTTTCCTTTTGTGTCCCTAACGGAGATTATATTCGAATTCAAAAGAAAATTATTAAAAATAACGTGCTATTGCAGGGTTTCAAAAATTCGTAAGGAAAGATCTGTCACCCACACACTTATTGTCAAGAATGGCTGAACATACCAGCTCGAATCAAATTAAATTTTACGCTCGACGTGTTCTGTAAACATTTCCTCTCGGTCTAATGAGTTTCAAACTTTCCTCTTTTGTAAGATTAAAATTTTATAAAAACTTTCCCGCTTCTGTGTTAAACGTCGTCCAACAAACAGAAAGTAAAAATACATTTTTGCTGTAACCAAGTTATTTTTTTTTATTTTAGTTCATTTTGAATACGTCAACCATGCAATAAATCTGATATGTCAATTATTTTATTCCAATTGAACGTTGAAGTCAAATTATATAAAATGTAAAATTATGACTACATTCACATGTAATAACTTCATTATAATTAAAAAACAGTTTCTCTGTACGTATATATTTTAGTTGCAGGATTGTACGTGCGTCGCGGTCATTTTTCCACTCGCGTGCACGAGGTTTTCCGAGAGAGCTACAATATGGGATCATTTAAACACCAAGTGTTCAGGTCGCTCCTTTACATACAAGGCCGGCAACGCATCTACATCTACCCCTTACGTTGCAGATGTCCAGTGGCGACGGTCACTACCTTCCAACAGGTAAACCGTCAGCCCTTTTGAGTAATATAAAAATAATGTAATTTAGAAGCGTCATCTGTGATTTGTAAGCAAAATTAAACAGACAAACAAAAAGGAATCTAATTTGAATTCATGCCCTCTATTGGATAATAGCAAAGCAAAGCCGGTTCATAATTACAATCATTCGCATTATAATTTAAAACATATATACTTTCTGTTACTAGATGTCGCTGTCTAATTGATAACTACGTATTTAAGTTTCACACTAGGATTGTAAATAATTTTAATGTTGGCAGGTTTGTTAACAATATGCATTTGAACTAATTAATGTTAAAAATTAACATTACTTTTAGCAGATTATTTTATAACCAAGTTAAGATAAAGAGCAAGACATTTTAATTTAGATTGTGAATTATAATGTTGTTTTTAAACCCATTTCAATCAATTTTAATCAAAACAATATCTCTTATATATTACAAATGGATATTTAATATTTCTATTTATAATAAACAATACGTATTGAATAAATGAAAAGTAAATTTCTCATTTCTATCACATTTTTGTAATAAATATTGCATTATTTAGAATTATATAATACGTAAGGATACTATGCATTAACACTTATTGCAATATTCAAATTAGTACCGCTTTTCGCCGATTACGTAGCGAGCGCTACTATACTTACAACTTTTATAGTAAAATATAATGACAGTTGTCACTACTAAATTGCGCAATCACCAAAAATAAAAAAAATTGTACCACTATTCGCCTATAAACCGGCGTGCGCCCATATCCACCTATCTCCTGAATATAATTTTTCAGGTGTTCCTATATTGTTATCAAAGACACCATATGACGGTTGAGGCATGGAACATACACTTTTATTATCTACTAGATGACCTGGCGAACTTCGTATCGCCATATAATCAAGAAATATCTATTACGTTTTTTTATTTATATTTTTGGAGTTTATCTGTAAGTCATAAATCTCCGTATTTTGAAGTGCGACAGAATGATTGACACATCAGTTAGTTGTCAAATCTAATGTCAAAAAAAACGTTTGTATGGGAAATAGAAAAGGGCTGTTTTTATGGTTTTCCCAGTAATGAATAAATTTTTTTCAACTTTTATACCTTCCCTGAACCTCCACGAACATTTCAAGACTAAGATAAAATAAATCCGTTCAGCTGTTCTCGAGTTTTAGCGAGACTAAGGAACAGCAATCCATTTTTATATATATAGAAGATTATATATATAAAAGAAAGTCGTGTTAGTTACTCCACTTATAACTCAAGAACGGCTGAACCGATTTAGCTGAAAATTGGCAGTGAGGTAGTTTAGAGCCAGGAAATTCCAATAGGATACTTTTTATCCCGTTCGACAGCATTCCCGTGGGACTTGACAGTCACTATAAAACGTGGAATAACGAAACACAATTGACAGCTATGCAATTTACGTATAATGACAGATATGTAATGACATAATGATGACAATTAGATATTTGTAAGGGATCTACTATATAAAAATAAGTCCGGTTTTCCATCCTGACCCTGTAACTTGGAAAGGTCTCGGGATCCGTGAGATTTATAACGAAAAATTTCAAAAGAAAAGCGGGAAAATCTTTTTTCACATACAGGGCCATCATACATACATAACATGTACTACATATCAATATTTTAAGTAGATGGTGCCGGTGCATGATACATTGTTTGACAGCTACTCATTGTTCTCTTCTCAGTTAATTTCATGTGACAAACGGGTATTTTATTTGTACATAGTTTGAACTCTTAAAACCATTAAGTATTTGCGGTATAAATTTAGAAAATTATTGT